AAGCATTTTCTAATTCTCTTGCTTTCTTGTCTGCAACTGGATAGAATACAGGGAGTCTTCAAATGGAAGTGGTAAAACTAACTAAAGCATGAGTTTATTTTAGGAAAAAGAGCCACAATCAGAAAATGCCCATGTTATGCCTATCATCTATCTATCTATCTATCTATCTATCTATCTATCTATCTATCTATCTATCTATCTATCATCTATCTAGGTTCTAATGAAAATTTAAAAAACAATCCAGGGAAGTGGTGTTGCTATAATCAGCAACCTCTTTCTCATCCTATCAAAAAGCACCCATGTTTTTGTTAGCTCTGAGATTGAACAGAAAGTACATTACATGTAGTATATCTACATTGCAAGTAAATCATCTGAAAAAGATCTTGATGGATTTCCTGTGGATGAGGTAGGGAAATGCATGGTGGTTGTGCTCAAGGGAAATTCCTTCACAGTCAATTGAACAACACAGTGTATTACCAGAGGACTCAGGTTTGCATCTGGATATGCCATTTCTCAGATGGAGGACCTTGGCTACATTGTTTAAACTATCTTAACTATGGCTTTCTTATCTGCAAAATAGATGGGAACACTTATTTCATAAGAGTGAACTTAAATCATGCATATAAACTAGTCATTTGGTAAGTGATTATGTGTTACAAGACTGCTATTGATATTAATTAACATTAGCAGGAGAGAGTTAACAAGGCTTTCATCTTGGTCTTATTGTGGTCAACATTTAATCAAAGACATGGAAAAGACACAGTAACTCCTTATCAGATCTACAGGAGACTCATAGCCGGCAGTGCCCGCAAGTGTCTTTGAAGAGACCTAGGGCTTTACATAATTCAGAGTGAATGCCAGGGTTAGAACAGTCATAATCATTTTGGCAGGTTGGAATATTGGACAAAGTCCATGGGAAAAAATTAAATAAGAATAAACTTTTATATCTGTTGTTTGTCTAAAACTGAAATTTCACAAGGACAGAATGAGGAAGCAACTCCCTGTAAGGATCTGAGAGACTGAGTCAACCACCAGCTCAGCCTGAAAGAGGTAGTAGAGACAAGGGGCAGCAGAGTCCTTCCTCTTCATAAACGAGTGGCCCCCCTCCCCTTTTTTGGGGGGGGTCATTGGGCTTGAACTCTGGGCCTGGGTGCTATCCTTGAGCTCTTCAGCTCAAGTCACGTGCTCTACCACTTGAGCCACAGCGCCACTTCCAGTTCTCTGGTGGTTAATTGGACATAAGGATCTCATGGACTTTCCTGCCAGGGCCGGCCTTTAACCACAATCCTCAGATCTCAGGCTCCTGAGTAGCTAGGATTACAGGCGTGAGCCACCTGTGCCTGGCTCTGCCAGTGCCTTTTTGGAGCCTATTGATTGATTCTGGAGAGCATAAGTGAGGTGAAGAAGTTTCTAGTATGTGACAAGTGGCTGAAGGCATTGATTAGAAGTGCCTGGAAAAGAAAAAGAACAAATCATAGTACCTATCATAATAATTATAGTTATCATCAGCACCACAATAGCTAAATCTTAGTGAGTGCTTCTGTTTCTTGTCCCTGTCACTTCATTTAACCCTCTCAACACCTTGAACATCAGGTACTATTCTCATCGCTGCTTTGCCACTGCACAGGAGAAAACAGGGCATGTGGTCTATTTGTTATATAGGTAGCAAATGAGGAGTATATGTTCAAATTCAGACACTTTTATCAAAGCAAATACTTTTAGCTAACATGCTATAATGCTTTTAAGGGGGATAAGAAAATGGCTAATTTAAAATATTAGATGGACCATTCTGTGGAAGAGGAATTAGGCCTTTGCTGTGTATTTCTAGAAAGTAGTGGTAGTGGTACTCCCAGGAAGTATAAAATACTGGAAAGGAGTTTTAGGATATGAAGAAGAGTTTGAAGAGGAATGGGCTGGGATGCGTTCTACTGGAATTCTCTGTATACTTGTCAAGCAGAGGTTGCATGCTCCCAACCCTTAAAGTTCTCTTAATGAGGCATGGTTGCCCTAGGTAATCTGAATTTTACCTTCAAGATTTGACTCATCCTTGGGCTAATGTGTTAATTAGGATTAATCAGCAGTGGGATCCTTCACTAATTATGGCTGGGATGTGTGCGCTTTCTTGGAAGGGCAAGAGTGCAGTTGTCCCTCGGCCATAAAGGAGCAGGAACATGAAACCCATAGGACACTGGGACTTTGAAATTCTTTTTTTTTTTTTTGGGTCCGGCCGTGGGGCCTGAACTCTGGGCCTGGGCGCTGTCCCTCAGCTCTTCAGCTCAAGGCTAGCATTCTACCACTTGAGCCACAGCGCCACTTCCGGCTTTTTTCTTTTTGCTTATGTGGTGCTGAGGAATCGAACCCAGGGCCTCAAGCATGCAAGGCAAGCGCTCTACCACTGAGCCACCTTCCCAGCCCTGGGACTTTGAAATTCTTGAATCCTTTTGGCTTTGTGAACTTTTTTTCTCTCATGGCAAACCAATTTTTTATCACAGGGCAGAAAGCATAACCATTGGCAGTTCTTGACATTTAAAAAAATTTTTTTCCATCTCATAATTTCTGTCCCTGGCAATAGACTGCCTCTTTGTTATCAAGGCAAAGCAAAATACAACTACAGAAACAAAAACACTCCTCAGTTCTTCACAGGCAAAGGTACAAGAATCCACATCTCCTCTGACATGAGAACTGAGTCCCTTAGAAAAACAGCAGGGCTCAAGGAAATAGTATGTAGTGGACAGAAGAGAAAGCATACCTGCTCAAGGCACTGAGGACATTATAGGCTAAAGTCTTCTGAACATAAATTTCAAGACTTAAGGCTATTCTGTGTTGACCATAGTCATCTTTTCTGAAAATACTTGAAAGTACCGTTAGAGCTGTACATTTCACATCTGTAATCTCTTCAGCAAGAGTTAGGTGCTACATCAGGCAGAGAACTACAGGCTGTGGCTCTTAAGCTCAAAGACCTAACAATTTAGAGGATTAAGGGCTTAGCATTCTGAGAACTGTTTTAAATATAATTACATAGAGGTTTAATCCTCATCAAGGAGCTCACTCACAAATAGATCTCAGAGTGAGTTTAAATCAAAACTACCTCCTCAACAGAACTCTTTAGCGGCTCAGAAATAGCTCAGGCTAGAGAAATGTATGCTCACTTGTGTTAATTTTTTTCACTTTTGTTCACAGCTGTTTTAGACACTGTAAGGTAATCAAAATGGTAGAATCACATTTCTTCAAATTTGTCACTTGCTGTTTGGTCTGTGTGGAATATATTTCACCTCACCCCTGCCTTCCACTGCCTTTATCTGCTATTTGATTCCTGCTTACTATTTGAAACGTCCGTCTTTCCTGTCTAGACTGGGTTAAAACCCTTCGCTCCAGGGTTCTGTCACATCCTGGGTGCTGCACATTAGGAAGGTTCGATATTTGTAATCTCATTCAATGTTGTCCTCTGGTAAAATTAAAGACCTACGAGGGTAGGCTGTTTGTTTTGTTCTCTACTATGCCTGGAATACTGCCTCAAAAAGAAGCAGGAATTAAATAAAAATTGACAGATACTTATTGAACATGTGAACATGTATATAAAAAGCATTGTTCCTCACACTGAAGATACAAAAGAGGAGAGTAGATATGGTCCCTGTCCTGAAGGACCTTGTATGTTGAAATGCTGACAAAGTAACTCACTCAGACTCCTAATTTCCAGATGAGAGAAAGAGCACCAAAGAGATTAAGTGACCTGACTCATGCCACAAGGATAATTTGAGTGGCACATATGATCATATCCATTTACAAAAATGTCACCTCTCAATACACATTTCCAGTAACCAAATGTGAACTGTTTTATCCATGATGAACAATGGCAAGACATGGAATCCTTATGAGGTACAGAGGAAAGAAGCGTATGGAGCACATGGTTTTATGTGCACAGAGCTTTACAGGTTGTCATCACAGGCAGGCAGCTTTGGAGACGGTTATGTCTTACCCATTCTGTCCTAGCCCATGCAAGAATGATTATGGAGTTCCTTGTTGTTGCAGTTGGACCTTAGAGTCCTGCCATCAGTGCGGGGTCCATGTTGCTAGAATTTAGTTGGGATCTGTGCTGAGCTGGAAGTTGCAAAGGGACTAACATGAATCATTTTTGATAATTTTAGGACTTTTCAAGAGGTAGTATATAAAGAACGGTATCAAGGGAATGTTTATAGGAGTGTTTGAACAGCAGGGAAATAGATCAATATAACAGCTCAATGAATAATGAAAAATATTACAGGATAGATGGAGTACTTGGGTAGAATCCAGTTATTTGAAATAAAGGAAATAGTTGTTTCCAAGAATAGAGAACTAGATAACTAATTAAATGCAAATCTAAACTAGTTATTCATTTCAGAGCCTGGGGAGGATACCATGGGAACTCTGCTGGAGTTCTCTTTCTCCCTGTTGAAGGAACAGACCTAGAAGGACAGACAGACTGTCATCTACCCACATCATGCAGTAGAAGCCAGTCTCTGGACAAGTTATGTCAAATTACCACTTATGTCTCCCCAATCAAAAATATATCCCCACCCCTCACAAAGCTCACATGACTCTAGCAGAAACACGTGACAACCTGTTCTACCATCTTCACACAGGACGCAGCAGAGCCGTTCAGCTTTCCTTGTGACTCTGTCAGTAAACCAGCAAGATTCATGTGCATTGCTCATAAAATCTGCAAACTGTTGAGTCAATTAATCAGAAAGCATGCAAATATAAGAACAACATTAAAAAATAAATAAGTTGTAAGGTGAGCGGAGATCTTTCAACACCGTGCGCACGCACGCGTGTATGTGTGTGTGTGTCTTCTGTTGAGGGCGATTTGCAAAGCCCAGCAACTCACTAATGTCACAAAGAGGTATGGAAGGTATGGAAGGTGATATCCTGGTCTTGAAGGATGGGCATCTCAGGGGAGTACTGCAGCAGGCTTAGAGAACTATGAGAAGAGAAACCTGAGAAAGCACTACATACAACATCTGTAAAGAAAATGTTTTATTTAAAGTGTTAAATACCATCACCAGAATGAATTTGATTTACATTAGTTGGTGTTTGTTACAGGACTAATCTGCCCTTTTTTTGTGTTTTTTCCCCCAACTGGAATTCCCTTTACTTGAAAATGTATTATGTACAGGGCAGCAATGGTCACTAGCATAGTGCTATTTACATGACTAAACCACAAGTCGAGGTGCAGACATGTGAAAATTAAAAAAAAAAAAACAACACCAACTTTAAATAAATACTGCATAATGACAAGTATGTACAAATATTCCATACAGTCATATCCTTCTTATTAAAATTAGAAATAATTTGTATAGGAATATGCATAAAAGATTATGTGACTGCCTGTTAGTATCAGGAAAATGGTAAACGTTTATTCTAAGGGGTAGTATAGACACTACAGGTCTATTAAATCAATTGTTGCTGGTACACAGGTGTCTAAATTATTTCAATAAAGTTTTATTCATTCTTTTCAAAACTCTACCTGGGTCCATCGTAGATCTCAGACTGTCAAGACACAGTCCTAATGTATTTCATATTGCACCACATAAAGAGAAGGCATTTTTAGTGATACTCATTTTAACTTTTGCACCATATCAAGCATGATAGTTTTCAATGATTAGCACTGAATTAGAAAAAATAAAGAAAAAACAAAGAAAATAATATTTGTGCATGGACTTCATTTAAACAGATGTGATGTGTGTGAACTTCAAAAAGTATTGCAAGAAAGTCAAACCAATCTATTAAGAATGTGTTGTCAAAGAGGACATAAGAACCAGAAGGGAAGGGCGGTTCACTCCATTGACCAGTGACATTTCCTCTAAATTGGGAACTTGAGAGAAGTTTGACCTTGCAGCACCACCCAATGGTAATAACTGTCAGTCAGTAGAGCCAAAGGCAGGGGTTTGGACTCCAGGGCATTTGCATGTAGACGTCTGATGACAGCATCAGAGAACTAGTTAGTAGGCATATTGACTTTCTTTGAGTCACTTAAAAATTGGAGCTTTAAAACTGTTGCAAATTTATGTTTATGATATTTCCTTAGAAATATAACTTGTGAAAATTTTTATTTTTACTACAGAAAAATGAATTAATAAACAGCCTTGGGTGTTTGGGCTCCAAATTTTTAGCAGTGTGTCTATTCACACAAATGGAAACTGGCTAACGAAATCATTTAAAGAATTAGAAAACAAACCAAAAACCCCTAAGAATACCTACAAATAATACTTGAACCCCTGTATGAATAATGCTGGTGCTGAAAACACATTTATCAGACATTACAATGGCCACATGATTGTAGGATTTTCCTGTAAACTGAATTTTGAAGGTGAAAAAAAAATTACCATGCACTGTACAATAAGTTGCAAAAGTTCAAATATCTTCTTTGTCAAATACATGCTGACTTACTTAAGTGTACTCCCAAGTCATGTTGCAAAGTCCTTTCAACATGCTTGAAATAAAGAAAGCTCTTAAATATTTTAATTCCCTTGAGAAATTCATAAATTTAGATGCACCTACAGCCCTGAATCAAATATGGGGTAGAAGATTAAATCAGATAAAAAAACTCGTCATTTTTAATATAAGGTTCACTCTCATTGGCAGGAAGAAAATAAACAAAAGAGGGAGAAGAGGAAAAGTGAGATAGAGAAGAGGAAGAACGATGTGAAAAATCTGCACATATTGAAGGTCATAAGATTTGTGTTTTCACATGGAAAGAAAGTGAATACATTATCCTGTTGTTGTCACATAAAGAGAATTTGAAGTATCTGCTAGAAAGTATTTTCATCTGTAATGTCTGCCAAAACACAGACTGTGGTTAAAGAATAAACATGGTGTGTCTTTGTATCACCCTGTTGCATTCTCTCCCCCATTTAAAACCATGCACTAGTGAAATTTACTTTTAAAAATAATATAAATTGTTGAAAATGGCTGATTTTTATTTATTTTTTTTTGCAAGTTGCAGCCCCAAGAAAATAATTTAAAGTATTCAGCTAATCTGAGTCCATGCAAAAGTTTCTTTAATTTCATTCAGTACAGTGTAGCCACAGAATTGTGATTTTCAGAGTCCGACACATCTTGGCATCAGTAAATGACATGCCAGCTGGAGCTTCCCAGCTGGCCTTTCTCCCTCCGGATCCTGGTCTAGGGGCGGATGCTTTGTTCCTGACCTTGCTTTTCACCTGATGATTCTTAGGACTTCATTCCTTGGCCTGTAACATGGCTTAATGGCTGTAGAGCTCCATTTCTGTGGCATAACAGGGCTTTGGGTTAGATAAATGAAGAAAAACGATAAAAATATAAAGGTGCCATTGAAAAGGGCTTTTGTTGCATGAAACTGACGGGATTCTTTGAGAATAATCCATGGCTTCAGATTGGACCAAAACTCGAGTGTCAATGAACTCCAAACCTGATAGTTCTTCATAGCTCTGCTCTTTCACCTGAGGGCCTTCGTTAGGGCACAATGTGTGCAACTTCCTCTGAGAACACAGGATCGCTTTGTATCCCTAGAAATGGGCTCAGAAGACACAACATTAAGCATGCAGTGTTACCAGGGTTTGCGACCTGTGGATATATATGTATTTTTTTTGTAACGCTGGTTGCTGTGACAACAGTTTTACAGCTGCTATGAACGAGAGTAAGAAGGTCCAGTGGAACTTTCCAGAGACGATTGGGAAGCTCTTCTTGTCAGAGGGGCCAAGGTTGGATCTACTAGGGAGGAGGGGGGGAATAGTTTGAACCATCCAATCACCATATTGGATAGTTCCAGTTCATCTAAAAGTATCTGGGCCACTCCCATAAAGGATTTGTGATCCATTCGGCCATAATCTCCCCAGACAATAATCTGTTGGCAAAAATGAAAAGAATAGTATAAGCATATACCTGACAAAAAACTTGAAAAATGCATTTAAATAGTGAAGTTCATTTGACATCAAAGAATAATTAAATAGATGTATTTGATGAATGGGACAATTGTTTCTACCAGAATCCAAAGATACACTGCAAAATCTACTAAAGCTTTGGCGATGAGCAGTCCACAGAGATTGGAGTTGATGTATAATGGGATCTCTCTCTCTCTTTCTCCCTCCCACCTCCCCTGCCCTGAGTGCCTGCGTGTGCGCGTGCACACGCACACACACACACACACACACACACACACACACAGTTTATGGCACTGGCCACCACTTTCAGGTTTTCAAAGACTTTCAGCTGTGAAGAACATAACAGAATGTGACAAGAAACTGGGCACAGGTGGCTTGTGCTTATACTTCAGCTACTCATGAGGTTGTAATCTGAGAATCACTATTCAAAGCCAGCATGGGGCAGGAAAGTCCATGAGACTCTTAGCTCCAACTGACCACCAAAAATCCAGAAGTAGAGGTATGGCTCAAATGGAGGAGTGCCAGCTTTTCTTGAGCAGAAAAGCTAATCAAGAGTGTGAGGTCCTGAGTTCAAGCCCCAATAATGGTGAAAAAACAAGGAAAAAAAGGAGTGTCTCAAGTAAAGATACTGAATACAAGGTTTGGCTTCATAAAAATAGTTTCTTATGTAAGGAATCAGCAAATAAGTAAATACCTGTAAAACCTTTCCTTGGGGACTCTCTTCAAAAGATAACAGCTGCTGGTAAAGGGGTTCCAGCGTTTTCCGTGCCACTTTCGTTTTCTTTTTGGCTATGCAGACTCCATTATCTAGTAGATACACCTTGACATACGGTGCTAGGGAAAAAAGGGGTAGGGGTGAATGAAATCACATCTGTTCAGTGTCCAGCTTATGGGGGACATCTGCAATAGCCTCATTTTTATCTGAAAGAGCTAACGCCAATCAAAAGTCCCTGGTCTTGTACCGGATGTTTAATTCAAATTATGAACAATCGTCAGCCACTCAGAGAGTTGCAGGGGATGCAATTTTTGTTTGTTTACTGCTGTTTGTATCTATTTGAACATTGGATAAGTAAGGTAAAACATTTCCAGTCTCTAACCATCCCGCCCTCTAGAGAGGTCTCTTAATCTTTAATTTACCAAAAGCTCAATTTAATTACATTGTTTTTGCTCCTCCAATCCAAAAGATTACTTATCATTCAAAGGTGTTTCTTTACTGATGGTGGTGTGGGTGTCATGCAGGAATGAGGCTTGAGGATAGAATGTTCAAATTGGCTAGGAAGAGGTTGCTAAATATAAATTCAATGGCTTAAAATTTATTTGGCAAACACTTCATGAAATTCATGCCCACTAATGTAAAAGTCATGATACTCTTTATAACAAAACAATTTTATTTTTATGAACATAAAAGGTAATGGCAATGTCGTACAATAAGCAATGCATCCTAGTTTTAAATTCCTGCAAGGATTGAAAAGTTGAGATGTCAGTAGTGACAATGCTAAGGCTAGAAATGAAGTTTCAGAATTCTCAGTAATTGTTTCAAACATGTAAAATCACTGCGTCATTTTCCACAACTTCAATTATCTTACATTCTAGTAACATTTCAGTATGAAATATATGGCATAAAGTTAAATCATGACTCTTTTTCCTTACATACTACAGGAGGTAAAACTCTTACAATTAGAACATTTAGCATATATTGGCTTATGCTACCATGGAACCTATATCCATCTTTATTCTAATTTTAGAGTTTTAAGGATGCCTTAGGTGAAACTTGAAGATCTAGATAAAACTGAAGAGCAGCATAAAACACTAGTTATTAAGGAAAGAGAACTTCTTATGCATATGTTGTGACAAAAATGAATCATCTAAGTGTGATAGTTTTTATTTTAGGGATTTTTAATATATATGGAATTATTTAAGAGCTTATATTATTCTTCTCCAGTAAGAGAACACTTTTACTGAATTCAAGATAAACCTCAAACTACGAGAGCCTGAAACAAGTCAGATAACTGACTTATCTGTTAGCATCTTTAACTAAAATCTAAGTTTTTCAGCAATAAAAACAACACGGCTTCTAAATGAAAACACCATAGTTTAACAGACAATAATAGGAATATCTCTTCTGTTTCTTTACCTGGCAGTGTCTTGGAACCTGGTTTTACAACAAGGCCACGGGCCCGAATGATTTCCACCTCCAGCTGCCCCTTTTTGTCCATCATTCCTACTTGAATGTCACCTAATGGTGTAAGAAGAAGAAAAAAATGTGCTTTACCACACAAATGCATTAAGAGAAGTGCTTTCACCAAAGAACTTGGTTTAACAACAGTTCATCATTTCCCATATGTCTCCTTAAATTCAAAAAAAATGTTACCAGTTTTATCAATGTCTTCCTTTAAAGATCATCAGAAATTAAAATGAAAAAAAATTACTGTTAAAAAAATCTCACTCTGTTTCTGCTAGTAATAGTGGTAGAGAGTCTATGAAATTAAAGGAATACAATTTTCAATATACTAAAGAAAAGCAATACAATTCCATGACAGAAAGCCTTACCCATTGCAGGAGTGGCCAGAGTCTGACGTCCCACCAGCTGAGCAGGGCCCAGCCCATCGAGGAAATCGCTGAACTGGCTGTCAGAGGCCAGGCGGACACCAGGGAAAATCAAACTGAAAGCAAAATAACACATGGATGGAATCCTCAGTCCCATGTCTCTCTCTAGTCTACTTTATGTGGAAGCATGGCTGGTACCATTATTTTGTCACTGATATTTATTGGACCCCAACATCCCAGTCCACTTCCCATACCTCTTGCTCCATATTCTCTATGTCAATGTATGTCACATGAAGCAATTGTTACATGGTTGCAGACTTCTATTTCTGTGTCTTCCTCTTTCTTGAGCTGGAGGATAGAGGCTGTGATTTATCAGCCATGCCCAGTACCTATTAAGCACCTATTCCATGGCAGGTTCTATGGTATTTAATCTAGTGGCCTAACTAGAAGACAGGTTCTATGATTTATCCTCTTTTATAGATGGAGAAACCCTTCTGGATTATTCTCATCAGCATTTAAACATGCTACTATGTCTTCCATCTTACATAAATAATCCCTTCTACTGACTCCACTTCTCTTCCAAGTTAGCACCCCATTTCTTTCCTTGAAATTCCTTGAAAAACATGCCCCTAAATTATGTCTGCATTTATTCCCTTTTCATTCTCTCTTGAAACCAAAATTTCTCTTAGCTAAATTTACCTAATGGCTACAGAAGTAAATGCACTGATTACCACATTACTCAGTTTCATCTAACTCAACAGATTAGAAGAACCTGACTCGATGGATCTCTTCCTCTTCCTTGAGACGCTTTCTCCACTTCACTTCCTGCAGCCTCTAGGCTCCTTGCATTTCTCCTTCATACTGGTACTGCCTAACTTGATGTCTCCAGCTTGGTCCTCTTCTTTAGGCAACAGACTTAATGATGTATAATGAGCATCTCTAGCCAAACCTGGCAGCCTTCCTCCACCTCTCAAACAAAACTAGTCCCCTCATAGGATCTCTGATATGAAAAACAGGTTTGTTTGTTTGTTTGTTATCTGAACAACATAGCAGTTAACTGCTGTACCTCTAGGTACTTAGAACCTTTGCCTGGGAGACTGTAATTACTTAATAAATACTTCTTAAGCGTCAATTAAATTGAAGCTTAAAAAAAGTAAGTAATTTTTGGAAAATCCTATAGTATCAAGACAAAGAAACAATAATAACAATAAAAGAATCTAGGTCTCTGGGATTCCAGTGTCCACGATCTTAACCATGGATACTGACTTCCTTACATGACCTAAATCCCAACTCACAGTATGGTGTCTGGATCAGTAGAAGATAGTATTTGTTAAAGTAATTTATTAGTATTTATCCTATTTATCTATTAGGAGTATAGCTATCTGGGGTGGAGGTCACAGTTTAAATGTTTTTATACCTCATGTAATATTTCATAATGTTGGCTACACTTCTGTCTAACCATTCAATGTTTCCATAGTGATGGAAGGTTAGTAAACCACACATCTATTGATTCCCTTTACACGTCCATTTACAGACCTATAGTCATCATTAACATTAATTTATTTGTGATGGGGTCACACAATCCTTTATTTCCTTTTGTACTTGTACTGGGGCTTGAACTTAGAACCTTGCACTTTCACTCAGCTTTTTGGCTCATGCAGATGCTCTTAACACTTGAGTCATACCTCCACTTTCAGCTTTTTAAAGATTAATTGGAGATAAACTCTTGGGTTTATCTGCTTGGTCTGGCTTTGAACAGCAATCTTCATATTTTAGCATTCCTGAATAGCTAGTATTACAGGCATGAACCACCTGCTTGGCTATACAATGTTTGTAAAAACTTAGAAAAAAATCTCAAAGATAGTTCATTCAAAGGAAAGGTTCATATAATTACATAGGGCCCCTATTTTGGGGGGAATTTCTTTTTGGATGTTATACTTCATGTAATTAAAATGCATTATATTTCACTTATTTTTATTTATTCATTTATTTTTATTTCATTTATTAGTTAACTTTATTAGTCAAAATAAATGATATGAAATATTGTTAGTACATAAAATTATTTTTTCATAATAACTTAAACACATTAAAGATGTTTAAAATTAGCATAGTCTATGTGGTATGGTACTAGCACGCATTATTTTGGTGCTTTTATATATTATTTCAAGCTAGGGCAAGATATTTTATTTACATGTAATGTGAGAGTCACATTTTAACACCTTATCAGCAAAGGCAAAACACTTTATCCCCAAACCTATATCCTTTGATGGAAAAAGCCAGAAATAGCATACCACTCAGTGGCAGATGAGTAAAATTCTCTTCCCAGGAAGTCAGCCAGTGACGATGAAAATGGTTGCAGAGGGTGTGAGCTAGATTTTGTGAGAACAGAGGATGAACCAGACAAGAAGGCTACAAGCAAGGTGTGGAAGAGACACGCCTCTTAACCAGCCTTACTTACTTTCCTTCTGAGCTATAGCTGTTCATGCTGCCATCTGTAGACTCTCGGCTGGCCTGTCGAGTCATCCAGTTCCTCATCTCCACTGCCAGACCTGTTTCTGTACTTCTCTGCACAGTGCTCCGTAGTTTTTTACCCCCTGCTTCTGCAGAAATAAAAATCCAAACGACATCACAGCTTTGTTATTGCTATTGGGTAACAAAAATTATCAGCCTCAGGAAGTCCTCAGATGGAAAGAACTGCATGGAGGCAAAGTATTCTTAAGGAAACACAGAGAAAAGGTATTTAAAACACTTTAAAACAATGTTTTGTTGGATCAGTAAAAATCTTGAAGCAGCACAAAATACCATTGTTTTATTTCCATTTAAAATAGTGTTCATGTGGTTAACATATTAAAAGATTCAATCTAAGAAAATAAAATGAGCTTCATTTTCACTATAATATTTGTCAGGTTAATTCATGCCTATCATTTTTGTGGTGATATTTAAATGCAAAAATAATTTATGCCTACCTTTTTTCCTCCTTTCCTTTTGTCATATTAAAAGAATTAAATCTTATACTATTTACAAAGAACAGATGGTGATAAATACTCAAATAGTAGCCTTAATTTTCACAAGAATATTTGCTTTTGGAGGGTGGTAGATCTGCTTAACTTTCAGAGAGATTCTCAAGGGGAATGTAAGGGTGCAAAACACCAGCAGTGTCAAGTTTTGATAGTCATGTCCCTATGGTAAAGAGGTGTGCTGATGAAAGCCCAGGGGAAGACCAAACAGGAAACAGAGTCACGCATTAATATGTGATAGAGGTAGAAAGTGACATCTGAAGGGGAGAAGGCTCTTCATAAAGGGAGTAGCATCTGATCTGGGTTTGAAAAATGGGGAGATTGGAAATGAAGGGAGGAGGAGAGGGAAGAGGAAACTGTGTGGATAAATGTGTAAAGACAGGGATGGCTATGTTTGTGAGAAGGAGGTGCAATGACCAAAGCACAGAGGAATGGTGAGCAGAGGGTAAACAAGAAACTGAGCTCAAATTATGAATGCTGGAATATGGAGCTGACCAAATCGAAGTTGATTTTTTTTTGTATTTACTTGCTTCTTCTCAGGCCTAAATATTCATCCTTATTAACTATGAATGCACTAGCCTTTGGGGATCTAACCATATGCAAGGCTCTCTAGTGGCTAGTATTAGTAAGTTCTTTTATTAGTGCCATGGACTTGCTGAAATCTCTTTGCCAAAGTGTCTTAATTTTGTTCACCACTTTGAAACACTGTTTTAAATCATCCATTCTCCTCTTCCAACTTTAATGTACACTAAAATGTTTTAAAGTGTATACACAAAATATAAATTACGACTGATCTACAACTCAGTTCCATAACCTAAAGATGCCAATTTAGGCAATTAATAGCAAACATGTTGTACTGATATAAACCATAAAGACATAGGCATCCCCCGTGGATGAAGGAAAGCTCTCATTTACAGAGGAGAGTTAGTTAATAAATATAAAAGGGATGATAAATTTAAAAATTACAAAAAATTTACAACCTCCAGTGGAATAAATGACTTAAGCAAGGCTTAACAATGAAGCCTAACACAATTAGAAAGCATAGTTGGAAAAAGGATGTTTCTATAAACCAAGTATTCATTCCAAAAATTAGATCTGGCAACTGTCATATTAATCAAGTGAATAACAGGACAATCATATGTGTTATCTGATATAAAATACATAGTGTTACCTATCAAGTTGTTCTTAACAGCTTGTTTCCAACCAGATCTCCTGTTTTTCAAAGATACAGGGGATAAATAACATACAAACAAAACAACAGAAAAGCCTAGAATATGGGGTACTGTTCAAGAGAATTAGTCTTGTCTCTTACAAAGCTAACATCATGAAAACATACAAGCTAATATAATTGCTGTAAATTACAAGATAGAAAAGAGATGTGACTATCAGACATTATAAATATGCTTTGTCTTATTTGGAAAATTAGAACAAAATGAGGAAATTTGTAAAGAAAGTAGTATAAAAGCAATTTTAAGACAGTAGGGAAAATCTGAATTAGATGAATTAGATATTAGATTCAATTAGGAAATTTTTAGGTGATTAACCACATCTATTATAATGATTTTCTTTATCATTAGAATACTACAAAGTTTAGAATTTAAATTTTATAATCTGACAATTCAAATAATGTAAGGAAAATAAAAACTCCCCAAACATATTCATGAAAAAGAAAAATGTGGAAAAAGATGAGGCTGAAGAGTAGAATTTGATGTTCATGTGTTTAATATTTATGCTTTTATTTCAGAGTGTGCCTCAAATGACTACGTCTGGAAGTAGTAGAATTTTTCCTAGCTATAAACTGGAATGATGGAAGGCGCTAGGCTGGTGTGAGGAAGGCCGGCCAAGGGCTTAGAGTCTTCTTTCCTGTCAACAATGTCCTTGTGAAAATCTGCCATCTAATGAGGCATACTTCAGTAAAGTTTGAAAATGCAAAATAAGGATATATACAGGAAACATATGACACAGAATTTCTAAAGATCTTAGGATATACTTTTTTGCAATGCCAAAGATGCATCGTTTCTTATTTACTATTGACTCTACCAGGCAGAAGTGACTTGAAAATACACTGTTATTAGGTGATGAGAACCAGCTACCACTTGTGTCAAAGAATAACAATATAATGAGCAAAGTAATCATTTTGTTTAAATGTATCTTATTCCTAACAACTTAAAAAAAATCCCTATTTTCGTAGGTCAATAGCATCAAAAGGCCCGGGAGACTACACAATTCCCTGAAACCACATTTTAACTGACAGAACCAGAGTTTGTATACCATCTCCAGATCCCAAGTTCTCTTATCATTAATTTGTTGGCAGAAGTGCATGGCCAGCTATCCACAGAGGTGACACGATGCTGATTGCAACAACATGTGGACAGTTCCTTTAGAAGTAGCCTGGTGGAGGCCCAAAGACACATAGGTCCCATGGTTTCCCTTATTTGCAATAACTAGTATATATCTGAGACAAGCAGAAATGGTCAGGTAAGTTGATGTTAGGCAAAATAAACCCCAAGATAAGGACTCAAATGGTTTTTTTTCTTGTTATTGTTTCTAACATATTTATAAGATGATTTCTTTGTTGCTTTGTATGTCCTTCCCCCAAGATATAAACCCCTGTTTTCACTGTATTTGATGTTGGTATAATTTGGGGAGGGGAAGGGAAAAAACAAATTGTTTAAATAGGGATACAGGTGGACCCATTACAACAATGAGATGTACAAGATGTTATGTCGAAAAACAAACGTTACAACTTTGGCGCAAGCAACAATGCTTGATATGAAATTGCTCATATAATTGAAACCCCTCTGTATGGTATTTTCACAATAAAAAACACAATAATAATAATAATAAAGAAAGCTCCACCACACAAAAGGAGCTGCAAGAAAACCTAAAAAAAAAAAAAGAAAAAAGAAAAAAAGAAGTAGCCTGGTGGGGTAGGAAGAGCTTTCTTCCATTTAGAAGCTGGGCTAATTTGAGCAAGTCACTTACTTTGTCTTAGTTTTATCAATCTCTGAAATGATGATAATAACGAAATTATAATAATAATGCGTGCCTGATAGGTTGGCTAATGATTAAGGAAAATAAACATCTAAAGTGTGTAGAGAATGCCTGATACATAGAAAGTTTACAACTAATGGTAATGTTATTTAACAAGCTAGGGAATAAAAAAACCCAGAAAAGTAGGTCAGCCTCAACCACTTATTGGCTCTGTGGGCTTCTCTGAGTCATATTCCCTGTCTGAGCCGTTGGCTTTTCATCTATAAAAATGGCGCAGGGAAGAATGTAGATGAATTTGATAAGTTTCAGCCCTAATGTCTGAGTTTGTGTCAATGTATGATCAAGATCACAAGAGGAGATAGGCTACTCAAACAAAGAATTCTACCTATAAGTATTCATAATAGCTTTTAAACTTTTTTATTTTATTTTTTTACAACTATGTATGGAGGTTCCCACTTATAGTAGCGTTAAAACTTGTCTTCTAAAATGTTGCATTATCTGACTTATTTATAAATTTATTTTTCAGCACCACAGAACCTTTGTGGTCACATACACAACAAAAGTAATTAAGCCTAAATATAGCACATTATGGTGATTCACACTTAATGCAGATGTTTCATAATGCAAATAATACATGATTTATTATGTTATTCAGCCTAAATATTGAGCATTTAACAGTGAGAAAGGGAGAATCTGAAGATGAATCTCATGATGATGTTACTTTACCTGGTAAAAGCCATTTTGCAGTTAAAACATAGGGACATTATCTTAGTGAGTCTAGTATAACCAGGAAAGTCTTTTAACAGAGTGCTTTTCTGGTTAGTTCCAAAACTGGAAATCAGAGGGATCTGAAAGTCAGGAAGGATTCAATGTGTCTTTGATGGTTTGAAGATCAAAGAGCAACCATTAATCACTGACCAATAGCAAAAAAAAAAAAAAAAAAAAACCCAAAACAAAACAAAAAAAAGGACCTCAGGCCTAAAACTTCAAAGATTCAAAATTTGCCATCATCTTGAGTGATACAATACACCTTGATATCAACCTTGTGATATGCTAAAGAGAAAATCCAGTCACACTGTGAACTCATAAATGGGTGTTGTTTTTCACCTGCTAAATATGTGATAATCATTACACTAGAAAACTAATACCATAAATTCTAAGTCTCTGTACGATTTTTTTCAAGTTGGAAAACTTAAAAATATTATGACTACCGACTAAAAATTAAAAAAACTTAACATGATTTTTGAAAAAAGTATATATATATACACACAGAGGCATATATTCATATATGCATAATATAGGTCTATGTATTGACATATTAAAAATAGTCTTATAGGTATATAAGGTATTTTAGGCTTGTAGAGAAGTGGCCCGCAGATAAATATCAATTTCTTGGATTGCTAAATCTCACAGGCAGTTGGCAGCACACAGGAACTGTCCTTCTTATTCTGGTCTGCTTAATTGCATGGCTCATTTACTTGGTACCTTCTGTATTCAAAGAAAGCCACCTGATTAACTGTAAGACCAAAGAGTTGTTTTTCGCTAATATATGAAAAACAGAAAACTATTTGAATGGCTTGACAACAAAA